AAAAAAAAAAAAAAAAAAAAAAAAAAAAAAAAAATGTCAGCCCTTTCCCTTTCTGATTATTGCTTGTGTCTTTTAAAACTTAATTTTAAAGATTTATTTTACTTTTAAGTTAGTTGTGTGTGGGGTGTGGCTGTGGGTGAATACATGTGAGTCAGGTGCCTGATGCATTCATTAGATCTCCTAGAGCTGGAGGGAGTTACATGGGTGCTGGGAATCCTAGGGTCCTAAGTACTAGACCAACTCTCCAGCCCCGTTTCTTGTGTTTTAAGGAATCCTTCTCTAACTTGACATCATGAATGTATTTTCCTCCTCCTGTAGACCTGGGACTTGAAGAGAGGGCTTCATGGTGTGTAGTAGGCAAGGCTTCTACCACTGAGCTGCATTTCCAGCCTCTAATTATGTCTGCTGTAACAACTTTTCATTTCATATTTGTGTTTCCTTTCTTTCTTCTTTAAAGATGTGTTTATTTTATGAGGGCTCTGTGTCTGCATGTATGCAGTGGGCATCGGATCCCATTACAGGTGGTTGTGAGATGGATGTCACATGGGAATTGAACTCAGGTCCTCTGGAAGAGCAGCTGGTGCTCTTAACCACTGAGCCGTCTCTCCAGCACTCACATTTGTGTTTTCAATCCACCAGAGTTAACTTGGTGGAACCGGAATTTGGACAGTTGGTTTCTGTGTACCGTTTGTCTCAGCGCTGGTTGTAGGCGATGTCTTCTTGCAGGTTTCAGTTCCCTTCGCCTAGTTTGTATCTGGGATGTAATAGACTTAGTGAATGAATGTGAATGGCCTGAAACTTTCTGTAGGTTCCTTATGGTTTTCACAGCACAGTTTAACTTACCAGTTGATTTTAAAAAATTATTGCTGCATTCCTTATGTTCTCTTTTACTTATTTAAATACTTTTGATTTGTTAATAAAATACTGTTGAAACCAAGTAAATATTTGTTGAATTTCTTTTTATCTGTTTTGAGTTTTTTCTGCTGTATCTGTACAGTCATGAGACTTGTTTGATACATTTTACTGAGCTCCTGGTCTTGGGCTATGTTTCTTAACCCTAAAAGAATAAAAATCATCTGGATACATGTAAAATGCTAAGTGTCATTGGGCTGCCTCAGTCCAGTTAAATTGGTATTTTTTATTTATACACAAATATTCACAATAGCCAAAGATAACAGCAAATTCAGATGGTCATCAGCAGATGAAGAGGGAAGAGACAAGGGTGTAGTGGGTACATAAAATGGGATGAAAGTGAGACGTAAAAAAGATTGACATACGCAGTCGGGCGGTGGTGGCGCACGCCTTTAATCCCAGCACTTGGGAGGCAGAGGCAGGCGGATCTCTGTGAGTTCGAGGCCAGCCTGGGCTACCAAGTGAGTTCCAGGAAAGGCACAAAGCTACACAGAGAAACCCTGTCTCAAAAAACAAAAAAAACCAAAACAAAACAAAAAAAAGATTGACATACGCATATATGCCACAACATGGGTGAACCTTGAAATGAAATCAAAGATCTGGAACCAGAGGTCACACATTGTATGAATACTTTTATGTGAAATATTCAGAATAACCAATTCTGTAAAAACAGAAAGCACATTATTGGTTGCCAAGGAATTGGTGAATGGGGAGATAAGGGGTTATTTAAGGTACGTACGTGTTCCAAAGTGATGAAAAGATTTAGGGGTTGACGGCAAGTTGCACTAACTTTCACCACCAGTTATATACTTGAATATGATTAATTGCGTATTATATGAATTTCACTTAAAATGTACATAAACCTAACCTGATTAATAATTTTTAAATTGTGTTAAGCTTACAGTTTTATTTATGTTTTTAGTGTGTGTGTGTAGTATGTAGATGCCACTCCTGTGCATATTGCAGAAGAGAGTGTCAAGTGTCTTGTTTTGTCACTTTTCTGCCTGGAGACTAAACCTAAAAGCTCATTAAACCTGAAGCCCAGCATTTTGGCTAGGTTGGCTTGGCCAGTGAACTCCGGGGCCACTGGTCTCGGTCCCAGCATTGGGTTGTAAGCACTCATGGTCATGCCTGGCTTGGCCAGTGAACTCCGGGCCACTGGTCTCAGTCCCAGCATTGGGTTGTAAGCACTCATGGTCATGCCTGGCTCTAAAGTGCTGACATGGTTCTTTCAATGGCGTCATTGCTGTTGTAGATATTTTGCAGATTTTGGTAAGTAATTATTAAATGGTAAGCTTGAAATTTAATGGAAATACATCTTCTAGTGCAGTTTAATTCATGTATCTGTGGATGCATGTAACAAACGGTTCAGTGTTCTATTCCTCTAGAATTAATATAGAATTTTTTTTTATTAGACTTAAGTACTGAAAAACCTTTGAGTAAGTGGCTCATAATGGAAGGGCATTGAAGGAACAGTGTCACTCAATTCTCTGAGTATATGTGCCCAAAAGCACACAGCAGTTTAATAGAACTTACTTTTTTAATAATTAAAATAATTTAATGATCCATAAACTGACACCTCAGATTTTTCCTCAGTATTTTTGAAAAAAATTGAAGAATTGGAAAACAGTTCACTTTCATGAGAATGTGCTAGTTATTAGAGTTACGTACACTACTATCTCCAGTTGGCCACATTTAATGCCTCAGAGGTTACAACCTGATAGGAAGAAAAACAACACATAAAAAGATGAGTTCTCGGGGCTAGAGAGACAGCTCAGTGGTTAAGAGCACTGAGCTGACTGCTCTTCCAGAGGACCTGGGTTCAATTCCCAGCACCCACATGGCAGCTCACAACTGTCTGTAACTCCAGTTTCAGGGGACCCAACACCCATGGCAAAACATGAATGCATATAAAATAAAAATAAATTTAAAAAAAAGATGAGTTCTCAGTACACAGGTAGAGTAGTTTATAAAATAATTATGTGTAAAAGATGAAAATCTTGAGCTGTCCTAAGACTGTCTTTGCCTATGCACCTTGTGAAAAACCCTTGTGTACCGCAGTCGTCTGTAAAGTGTCCTTCCTCCCTGCCAGCCTTTGAACAAGTTTCCAGGGTCTGTGTACTGTTAATAAGAGGTGGTCCCCCTAGTTCAGACCTCAGCTCCAAAAAAAAAAAAAAGTTTCTTGCCAGGCGGTGGTGGCGCACGCCTTTAATCCCAGCACTTGGGAGGCAGAGGCAGGTGGATCTCTGCGAGTTTGAGGCCAGCCTGGTCTCTAAAGCGAGTTCCAGGAAAGGCGCAAAGCTACACAGAGAAACCCTGTCTCGAAAAACCAAAAAAAAAAAAAGAGGTGGTCTCCCAAACCAAAATGGACCTGAAGGTCTTCTTCAAAATGGAAAACCAAAAAAAAAATTGTATTTAAACTCAATGTAGAATTCCTAAAAATGTGCAAAATTTGCTCAGAGTGTTTGCTTCTCTGATAATTGGCTATCTCAAATTTTCTCCAGGTCAATGAATGGTCATTGAAGATCAGGAAGGAAATGAGAGTTGTTGACAGGCAAATAAGAGGTAAGTTGCTACTTTATGTTTCCTTTTTATATTCTAATGCTGCTTTTCATTTCAGCACATAAAAGTAAGCTTCTGTGTACATTATAAGACAGAGTTTATTCCCATACTGATTCTGTGTATTCTCATTATTTTGTTTCCTAATTCTATATTTAGTATAGAAAGGGTAATGATTGAAATAGACTATATTGTAAGAGCCAAAGAAAGCTCTTGGTGTTTGTAAACACAAGTTTTTATGAGGTTTAATTAAATAAATTAGGCATAAGACGACAATGCAATTTCATTATCTCTGCTCTGCCTATTTCAACATACTTTAAATTGGGAACAATACATTTTTAAATAAAAGTTACTTTTTTTAGTACCATTTGAAATTAAGATGAATGGCCAAAAAATGATAATGCTTAAATTAAGGTTTTTTTAAGTTTTATATATTTTGACAATTTCATACATATAAGCAATGAGTATTGATTATACCCACCCTCAGACCCCCCTCCCATCCCCCTCAGACAGTCCATGTCATCTTTCCCCGCTTCATAGTCATAACTACACTTCCACACCCATTGTAATCCATGGAGTCCAGTTAGCACTGTCTTTTGGAATGCTGACTGACTTTGTTGGCTTGACCTTGTGTAGGTCTGTGTAGGCATCCACAGCTGTAGTGAGATTATGCGTGCTATGGCCATGTCAAGTCCAGAAGACAACATTTTACAGTACTCCTCCACATGCTTACATTCTTCCCACCCCTTCTGAGATGTTCCCTGAGCTTTGGATGGGATGTTGATATAGCTGTCCCATTTAGGGCTGAACACTCAAAGTCATTTATTCTCAGCACTTTCACTAGTTTTGAGTCCCAAGTTATAAGGCCAAGGTAGAGGGCAGCACTAATCTATCAACATCATCATTTAGCAAGCTGTCTGTAGGAGGTTGCACTGTAGGGCCTAGACATCCTAAGTCATTGACCTTTGACCAGGTTTAAAGTACTAGATAAGAATTTCTCCTGTGGATCAGATGTCAAATCCAACCCAAAAGCTGCTGGTTACCCCAGTATCCTTCATGCATTGTCAAAGTAGTGACTGTCTCTGGCCTGGCAGGTCAGTAATGTAGTATGCAGGGTTTGCTGCTAGATAATGACATTGAGGGCTTCCTTTGCCCCACAATGCCTGCATAGCACTTCCTAGCACTTGAAGTTAGCCAGTAGGGAAGAAGTTTTCAGGTCAATTCCAGCCTGATTCCTCTGTGTCTTATAACCAGAATATGTCATGCGTCAACAGTAAGAGCTTACCATCTAGTTCTGGCAGGCAGCCAAAAGTTAGCCAGTGTTGTTTTTAGTGCTTCTGGGGTTTTCCAGTTACCACAAGTAAGCCTGGTACTGAAAATTTTATTTACTCATTAATCCATGTCTTCTGGGAGAAGTATTGTTCATCCATGCCTGCTATATACATTTAAACGCCTTAAATTTTTTTTTGTTGTTTTTTAAGACAGGGTTTCTCAGTATAGCCCTGGCTGGCCTCAAACTCACAGATCGCCTGTCTCTGCCTTCCAAGTGCTGGGATCAGAGGCCTGCCTCAGCCCTGGGTAGTAGTGGGTTTCCCTGAGGGTCTTTAGTTTTGGCTAATCCCCTGCACTCTACTCCCTCCCCTCCTGCTCTATCCTTTCTTAATATTCCCTTGCCTCTACTCTTATATCATAGGGGTTCTGTTATCCTCTTCTTCCTTAAAGGATTTTTTAAAACGCCTTCATGAATAGAAATGATTAAAACCAGGAGAGTGTCCCAGTATTACAGTATCACAGCTTTAAAAATGAATTAGAGGCCGGGCGGTGGTGGCGCACGCCTTTAATCCCAGCACTTGGGAGGCAGAGCCAGGCGGATCTCTGTGAGTTTGAGGCCAGCCTTGGCTACCAAGTGAGTCCCAGGAAAGGCGCAAAGCTACACAGAGAAACCCTGTCTCAAAAAAAAAAAAAAAAAAAAAAAAAATGAATTAGAGATGACAATTCTGTTCAGCTGTGGTGATCCATGTTAGTCTTACACTTCTACTTCAGTAGTCAGTGAAAGTTTGAACAAGGCAGCTATGAACCAACCGCTTTCCACCCGGACAGATGACTGTCTGTTGAGAAGAGAAACAGAAAGAGAACCCTCTGAGTCCTGTCTTTCTGTCCAGAGATACTTTCTTCAATGGGGCGTATGAGAGGGATTCCAGAAAGAGGATGGTAGTCTTGCTGTCCTGAAGACTTGGAGATCGGGGTGAGCGAGGCTAAAATATGTGGTGCAGACTATTTAGAGTAAAGGAATATAACCAGGGAAAGAACTCCAGATAGCTCCTTGGGATCTGAGTGTGTGGCTGAACACTGATCTGTGCTTATTTAGAGTGATATTTGCAGAGGCTGGACAAAGAATGATTAATGGGAACAGAACAACTACCAGGAAGTTTGAAGCTGAGCAATTCCCACAGCTAACAAAGGGTTGAGAGCAAAGGCAATAAAGAGACCTTGTGAAAATCGGGGATACTCAGTATCGACTGGAGAAGGGCCACGTTTAGTATTAAGGTAAACATAAGTGCACCATATGGGAAAACTTATGAGCAGGGCTTGAAGTTGATCTGCAAGTGACTTAGCTGCCAGTCAAAATAAAACTTAATGCTCTTTGAAGAACAATGAGGCATTCATTCTCTGTGACAAGAATCCAGTGAAAAGGCCACTGCAGGGAAGTAGAAAAATGACCCACATGGGTAAAATAAATAAAGTAGACAATAAAAATAGACAAAAAGGCGATTAAGCAAGAAAGGATAGGATATATACTGAAGAATTTAAAACAAAGCCATAAGCAAAATGACCTAAATAGAAGATACAGAAAAGAAAATGTAACTCTTAAGATAAAGGAAAACTTCACTAAATTGACACAACAGCAGATTAGACACTATAAAAAGGAAGATCAAAGAAATTGAAGATAATAACACAAACTATCCAAACTCTGCTACAAAAAAACTAAACCAACAGAGCTACTGTGACTTGTGTCTATGTAGTGAGTTCCAGAACAGCCAGGGCTGTGTAGAGAGGCCCTGTGTCATACAGCAACACCAAAAATAAAAATAAGTACCTCGTACAATGGGAGAAAATATTTGTAAATCATATATCTCCTAAAGTATACAGAGAATTTCTAAAGTTCAGAAACAGGGAAAGTCCTTGAAGAGACATTTCTCCAAGGAAGAATATATATATTCTTGTAAGGTGCTGAGCAGTGGTGGCACATGCCTTTAATCCCCGCACTTGGGAGGCAGAGGCAAGTGGATCTCTGAGTTCGAGACCAGCCTGGTCTACAGAGCAAGATCTAGCACAGGCACCAAAACTACACAGAGAAACCCTGTCTCAAAAAACAAAAACAAAAACAAAAAAGAAACTGTAAGGCAACCATAATGAGATATGTACCACTGCATACCTAATAGGTAACTTATAAAAAAACAAAACCAAACCAGAAAGCAGCAAGTGTTGGAAAGGTTTGGTGAAATTAGAATTCTGATGTGCCGTTAATAGGAAAATAAAACAGTGCAACCACTTTGGAAAATATAGAGTAGCTCCTGAGGAAATTAAAAATAGGATTATCAGGTCTGACATGGTAGTACCTTTAATCCAAGCATTTGGGATGTACAGGAGTTTGAGGCCAGTCTACATTGAGTTCAGAATAGATTGTCAGGGGCTACATAGAGACCCTGTGCCCACCCCCATTTCCCCCCAAAAAAGAATTACCATATGGCCCAACAATTCTTCTTTTGAGTATATACACAAACAACTGAAGGCCAGATCTTGAAGAGATATTTGTAAATAAATATCTCCGACAGAATTAGTCATACTAGCTGAAGTTTTTATAAGATTTAAAAAAAAAAATAAGCATGTTACATAACAGAAAATAGTTACATGCTATATTGTGGATAAAAAGAGAATATATGCTAAGTAAAATCAGAAAAGTACTAATGTTGCTCTATTCCACATTCACAAGGTAGCTAAAAATAATCACCTTATGAGATGGTAGAATGCTGCTTGCCAGGACTAGGAAGAGAGGAGAGAGTGGTTTCTGGTTCAGGGATGTGTGTTCTGAGAATGGAAGGTACTGATGGTTATGCAGCCATGTGAATGTGCTTGTACTATTTTGTTGAGAGCTGGATTGATGGGCTCAGGCTTTCCCAGAGGCCCTGATAGTATGGAAAAGGAACACAGCCCCTTCTCAAAGCCAGGACCATGTGTGGCCGAACCAGTCATAGCCTGGGGCCAGGACCTTGGGAGCTTTTTCCTGAGGCCTTGGTGTATTGAGAAGGAACAGAGCTGCTTCTCTAGAACCAGGAAGTGGCAGAGCTGGTAGTGGCTTGGGGCTAGGACCTTGGGGGAGCTTGGTTTCAGATCTCAGAAACCGAGTCTTTCCACCCAAGGGGCTATTGTTATCATTCCCAAGGCCATGTGTGCTCCGTCTGTAATGTTCTTGAGATACCCCATGTTCCCTTTGTGTAACATGGTTTAATTAGTACAATTAGCTTCTTGCAAATTAAACACCGTATGATAGTTTCTGCTGACTTTGTTTCATTTCTCCCTTAAAGTGGTATATAAGTTGCTGTACTTCAAGCTTGCTTGGCTTAAGACATAGCTTGTACAAGACGTCCTGATCACAAACTTTATTATATTCTCTATCTTCTATCTTTATCTTCTGATCTCCTGGTTCTCTCTCTCAGGACCCTGTCACTGAAGAATGACCAGAGCATTATTTAATTGTACAATTGAGAATGGTTAAGATGGTAAATAGTGTTACGTGTATTTTGCCACAGTTTTTAAAATCCAAAAGTTTTTACTCGTTATAAAGCATATAATAATATAGACTTGTCTAAACTCTAGTTGATGCTGATACAGTGCTCTAATGTGTTCAGATTTTCCTCACGTTATAGATTTTTATAACAATTATTGCTCAGAGATTGTACTCCAATACTTGTAGGAAAGCTGCATACTGATTGTCAGAATTAGCTCTGGGATGCATGTACAGTATATTCTAAAGCTCCTTAGTATAGATGGGTACCAAGCAATGTTAGAGTAGGCTCACAAAAGGTTTTTAAAAAGTTTTCCAGATAAATAGGATTATACTACTGTTTATTGTCAAATTATGTTAGTCTTCTTCCAGGAAATAATAAATACCCATACATTATTTTTATTTCATTTATATCCTGTGATAATTTTTTACTTAGAGACATTTAGATTATAATGAAAACAGTTTGAGTGCTACCAAGCCTGATTTGCCCCTGCACCACCCTCCACCCCCGCCGTGTGTGTGTGTGTGTGTGTGTGTGTGTGTGTGTGTGTGTGTGTGTGTGTGTGTTTGCATACATGTATGTGGGTGGCTGAAGACTCCAAAAGAGGGTGCCAGATTCCTTAGAGCTGAAGTTAGAGGCATTCTGAGCTCCCTGCTGTAGGTCCTGGGGTCTGTACTCTGGTTTTAAGATTGAAAAGCAAGTATTTAATTGCAGAAACATCTCTCTAGCCCCTATCCATGGTTTTTGATGTTCTATTCTAAATTTAGATATCCAAAGAGAAGAAGAGAAAGTAAAACGGTCTGTGAAAGATGCAGCCAAGAAGGGCCAAAAGGATGTCTGTGTGGTTCTGGCCAAGGAGATGATCAGGTCAAGGAAGGCTGTGAGCAAGCTCTATGCATCCAAAGCACACATGAACTCGGTGCTCATGGGGATGAAGAACCAGCTTGGTAAGGCCCAGGTACCTGACATCCCCTAATAATGCTGCTGTCATTGTTACTGCCAACACTGGTTTCCTTGCATAGGAAGAATAGGCTCAAGTCTGGTTTTTGCTAAAGAGGGTACTGTACAAACATAAAATATAATTGATTTTTTGCCAATGTTTTTGAAATAATGACAGACTCTCCACAGGTGTCTTTGTTTAGAAGTTAGAATATATTGAATGTATGTGTTCAGCTGCAGTCTGTACTCCACCCGACACTTGAATGCACTTTTTAAAGTGAACATGTGCTCTTGAGTATTCTGTTCAAGACACCATGGCTTCTCACTGCATTTGATTAAATTTCAGACTCTCAGTTTGATCTTGGAGGTCCTGTGTGCTCTGACCTTATCTTGTCCTTGTCTCCTTTCTTCTCTCCATCCGTCTGTACTGTTCTTTGTGTTCCTGGAACTGGACCAACTTATTCTTGTCTTAGAACCTTTACATTTGGTGATCTCTCTGCAAGTATACACTGCCCCCATCTCTTGATAGTCCTTGTCCTACAGGTCTCAGTTCAGATGAGGCACACAGTAAAGCCTTTTCTAAAGCTTCTCTCAACAACACATCATGACAGTGCCTTTAATTTCTTTATAATTCTCTTTTCTTCCAACAGCCCTGGCCCTTCGGAAACTTACTTTGTAGACCAGGCTGCCTCAAACTCACAGAGATCCTCCTGCCTCTGCATCCCAAGTACTGGGATTAAAGGTGTGTGCCACCAAGCCTGGCTTCGTTATAACTCTTCTAAGTATTCATTTCTAATGAAATTAACTTGTAGATGTAACCAGTCGTCTTATTAAAATAAGAAACACAGAGCCAATGTAAAAGAGAAAGCCGAGAGGTCAGAGCTCAGAGATAAAATCTTACCTCCTGCAGTGCTCCTAACTTCCCCAAGAGAGAGCTACTTCCTGTTTGTCTGTGTTTAAATAGTCTTTCTGTTCTGCCTTCTCAGTGGTTGTAAACCCAACCACATGACTGCCTCATCACTGCCTGTAAGTACCGCCCTCCAGGTCTTAAAGGCGTATGTCTCCAATACTGGCTGTATCCCTGAACACACAGAAATCTACCTAGCTCTTCTAACCATCACGCTTTTGTTATGGCTCTAATAGCTCTGACCTCTCAGCTTTCTCTTTTACATTGGCTCTGTGTTTCTTATTTTAATAAGACGACTGGTTACATCTACATCTGGCGCCCAACGTGGGGCTCATGGAGATGAGAGCAGTTCTTGCCGCTGAGCACCCCATGTCCAGAAGAGGTTGCCCTAACACACTAAACTTGCTGGTTAAGTGTGTGACTTTACATCAGTGTTAGGCTCTGTGCACCCAACGAGCTGTAAGGCCCTCTTGCCACACAGTGTATGATGCACCCTCTCTAAGCCAGGGCTGGTGGCATTAATTATCTCTGGTCTCCTTACCAATAAAGAGTTGAGGATCTGGAAGGCAGAGAATGTTCATTACTCCTATCCTGGGATTAAAACATCGAGTGTATCTGCTATCAAGAGCTTGATGCAATGGCTGGGGTGAAGTCACACCACACCTGGCTCTTTACCACACCAAGCAGCCGACCTCAACAGGATTGCGGAAGACCAAAGGGTAGGTCTAGGTTCAGATATGACCATCACCCAGCACCACCTGAATGTGTTATTCAGATATAGGAAATAATAAAGATTATACATATATATATATATTTATCTTAGTAACCTGAGGGTTAAAGATTTGGAATACAATAATTCTTCTTAAGAGGCCCATTAGTAAGGGACCAAAATATTGGGTTGCACAAAATATGGGTAAATGGAGTTGGCAACATTAACTTGTTTCGTTATTTTTAATTTTTTTTTTTAAAACAATGCTAGGAATTAAACATAGAGCCTTGTACTGGCTAGGCAAGTGATATACGACTGAGCTGTATCTCCAGTTCTTTTTTGGTTTGTTTAAATTTTTTGAGTCTCAGTATGCAGCCCTAGATGGCCTGGAACTCACATAGATCCATTTACCTCTGTTTCCTGAGTGCTGAACTTGAAGGCGTGCGCCACATGCCCAGCATTCTCTTATTCTTAATATATACGTTGTATCCTCCTATTAGAGCCAGAAACCTGTCTGTCTAACCCATGGGTATATCTGTAGCTTAGAAAAGAGTGTCTGGTCATGTAATGTCTATGAAGAGCACACCCACAAGCATGTTCAGTGTTAGTAACTGTTGCTCTACGGTATGTAATTGTTTTTCATATTAAACATGTAGCAGAACCCTTTATTCATTAGTTCACCTTTTAAAGACTTTTATTATATATTCTTAAAAGATTTATTTATTTAGCTTTCCTATATGTATATGACTGCATGCATGGCTATGTACCATGTGTGTGCAGTGACTGCAAAAGAAGGCATCAGATCCAGTGGAACTGGAATCTTATACAGTTGTTAGCTGCCATGTATGTTCTGAGACTCAAACCCAGATCCTCTGGAATTGCAGCCAGTGAGTGCTCTTAACCACTGGGCCATATCTCCATCCCTTTTATTTTATTTTTATTTGTGTGTATTCACGTCTGTGTCTATGCACATGCTTGTGGGTGCTGGCAAAGGCCAGAAGAGGGCATTGGAGCCCCTGGAGCTGGAGTTAGAGATGGTTGTCAGCCAACTGATGTAGGTGATGGGAACGGAGATCCTGTCCTCTGCAAGAGCAGCAGACGCTCTTAACCACTGAACATCTCTCCAGCTGTAGTTAGTAGTTTATTTTTCCAACTAGTTTTCATATCTCTTTTTCCCCTTTTCTTTTCCTTCATTTCTCCCACCTCCCAGTTTTGATCTTAGAACTTCGAATCTCAGGAAGCCCCTCAGCACATGCAGACTACATGATATCTCAATTTAGATCCCTTATCTAGCAGGTGTCTGGGTCTAAATAGTCTAATGACTCTATTTCCAGGTGAGGCTTGCATAACTCATCCAGGTTCAGGCACCTTCACTGCCTATTTTTATTGTAATTACTTCTCATACACATTGGCTGCTTGTTTTGTAGGCATTTGTAAGAGTCTCAGCAATAATGTGTTATTCCTGTATTAACTGAAGGTTGCAGTCGTGAATAGTACCTTTGGAATCTTGGTCTCTTCCTTGACTGGTTATGTCAGAACTCACTAGGCTTATTTGGAATGTGTCATTCTTGTTAGTGGTGGTTGTTTTTGAGACAGAGTCTTATTGTATACTTAGCCTGGTCTGGAACTCCTGATTTTCCTGCCTCACCCTCCTTGACTGTCTTCCTTTTGTTTCAGTTCAGTACATTTGCTTCTGGTTTTCAAGTGTATTTTTGCCTGTTGTGCACATGAAGTGTTGTCATCCTAGAAACTCGAATACTTGGCAGCTAACAGACTCTCATACTCAGAAATAACATATGAAACTTTTTACTTTAAATTTTGACTCAGAAAATTTTATTCTACATTTGAATCTGCTTTAGGAATCTATACTTTATGTTTTACCAAAATAATTTCTGAGTAGATCAAACATTGAAGATAAAAAATAAATTCACAAAAGCACTAGAAGGAAATATGTTTAAAATGTAAGAAGCTGAAATGGAAAAATCTTTTCAGAGTGAAATATAAAATCTTATAAAGGAAAAGTTTGATAAATGAAGCATAAAACATTTAAAAGTTTCTGAACAAGTTCAGAAGTATTCCCCACAAAGCCAAAAGAAAAAGTGACTAAGCAGTTGTATTAAGCAAAAAGCTGCTAAGAATTCAAACTATGCTATTTCATTGCATGGTCTCATGTAGCCAAAGCTGTCCTTGAACTTCTTATGGAGAAGATGACTTTGTACCTCTGTTCTCCCTGTCCCTACTATCTCTTAAGTACTAGGGTCACAAAAATCTACGTCTGTGGGCCTGGTTTTATGATGCTGGGAGACTGAACTCAGAGTTTCGTGCATTCTCAGCAAGCACCATACCAATTGAGCCACATCCCTAGTCCCAAATATACTTTGAAATGAGATAATCACATTCTGTCAAAGGCTCTCAGCATAAAGGTGCTTGCTGCCAAACCTAACAACCCAAGTTTGATTCCCAGGACCTGCATGGTGGAGGAAACAACTGACTCCTACAAATTATCCTCAAGTGTGTACACACACACACACACACACACACACACACACACACACACACACACACACCATGCATGGCATGCCTGCCCCTCTCCCCAGTAAATATTTTTTAAAAAGGTATAGCCACCTAAAGTAGACTCATGTGGATCATGATGAAATCGACAGAAATGACTTAGAGTTTGCATTTGCTCATTTCAATATACTTAAGAATTGATTCAAATTTTTTGAAAGTCATTTTGGGTACATCAGAATTTAAATATATACCTCCTTTCATAGCAAAACATGCTCTCAAGCATGAAAGTATTTGTTTATAAGAATTGTTAGTTGGACATGTTAGTACAATGCCTATAATCAGTACTTGGGAGGTAGAAACAAGTCAGTGAGTTCAAGGCCAGCCATTTTCTTCTCTTTCTTTCTTTTCTTTTTGTTTGTTTGTTTTGTTTTGTTTATTTTAAGACAGGGTTTCACAGTGTAGCTCTGGCTATCGTAGAACTCACTGTGTAGACTAGGCTTGCCTCGAACTCAAAGAGATCTGCCTGCCTCTGCCTCCCAAGTGCTGGGATCAAATGCATTCGCCACCACTGCCAGCAAGGCCAGTCTTTTTCTTCTGGCAGATTTCCCAAAGGAGTCAAATAATATATTCTTTTTCTTGTGACTTTTCTTTGCGAATTTTAAGTCATCTTTCATTATTTTTTATAAACTTGACATATGTGTCTATAGATCATGTTATAATCATTTACTTTCATGAGATTTTGACTTCCTTATTTGCATTTTGACTTGGTGCCAAATTTAATCATGGCAGTATAATGTGAAAAACAAAGTCCCAGCCAGACATGATAGTGCACACCTTTAATCCCTGCACTTCAGAGGCAGGGGCAGGTGCATCTCAGTTGC